TTAACATCTTGTTCATTTTAACATGAATTTTAACATATTTGTTCACTGTAACATGGAATTTTAATATCTTGTTCATAGTAACATGGAATTTTAACATCTCTGTTCACTGCAATGTGGAATTTTAACATCTTTGTTCATTGTCACATAGAATTTTAACATCTTTGTTCATTGTCACATAGAATTTTAACATCTTTGTTCACTGCAATGTGGAATTTTAACATCTTTGCTCATTGTAACATGGAATTTTAACATCTTTGTTCATAGTAATATGGAATTTTTACATCTTTGTTCATAGTAATATGCAATTTAACATCTTTGTTCATTTTAATATCTTTGTTCATTGTATCATCTTTGCTCATTGTAACATGTAATTTTAACATCTTTGTTCATTGTAACATCTTTGTTCACTGTAACATGGAATTTTAACATCTTTGTTTATTGTAACATCTGTGTTCATTTTAACATCTTTGTTCACTGCAAAATGGAATTTTAACATCTTTGTTCATTGTAACATGGAATTTTAACATCTTTGTTCACTGTAATATGGAATTTTAACATCTTTGTTCACTGTAACATGGAATTTTAACATCTTTGTTCACTGCAATGTGGAATTTTAACATCTTTGTTCATTGTAACATGGAATTTTAACATCTTTGTTCATTGTAACATGGAATTTTAACATCTTTGTTTATTGTAACATGGAATTTTAACATGAATTTTAACATCTTTGTTCATTGTAACATGGAATTTTAACATCTTTGTTCATTGTAACATAGAATTTTAACATCTTTGTTCACAGCAATGTGGAATTTTAACATCTTTGTTCATTGTAACATGGAATTTTAACATCTTTGTTCATTGTAACATGGAATTTTAACATCTTTGTTCATTGTAACATGGAATTTTAACATCTTTGTTTATTTTAACATGGAATTTTAACATGAATTTTAACATCTTTGTTCATTGTAACATGGAAATTTAACATATTTGTTCATTGTCACATGGAATTTTAACATCTTTGTTCACTGCAATGTGGAATTTTAACATCTTTGTTCATTGTAACATGGAATTTTAACATCTTTGTTCATTGTAACATGGAATTTTAACATCTTTGTTCATTGTATGAGTCATATAGAAACTCTCATATAGTATAAATCTGGTCAAGGATCTTTCCTATTGATTGAATGTGAACATACAGTCTATCCCCATAAAGAGATGTGGGCATATAAAAACAGTACAAAAATTACCTTGGACAGTCTTATAACAACTGGAACAGAAACCTTCAAATCTCTCAGCTCCGTGAAATTCACAACCAGTATTTTTACATAATTTCTTCTCCTCTGAAATATCAACAGTGGATCATTTTAAAGAGAATTTAATGCTTCCCCATCCCCATTGGCTGAATGTAAGACAAAGCCATTCTGAACGAAACTCTCGACCATGATAATCAAAAGACTTGCTGAACATTTTAGTGCCTTTTACAATCACCAGCCACTTTTGAACTGAAAAATGTTCATCAAAATTTCATGAAAATCAAAACCGTGAGAGATATTATTAATATACATAAGCATGCAAAGAATGAACAAAATTCAATAAAAACTGTTGTCTCTATTATATTTACAAGCTATTGTGAATGGACGTCCAGACCGCTAAACAACCAGACAGGAATGTCAATACTATATACTGTTGTCTCTATTATATTTACAAGCTATTGTGAATGGACATCCAGACAGCTGAACAACCAGGCAGGAATGTCAATACTATATACTGTTGTCTCTATTATATTTACAAGCTATTGTGAATGGACGTCCAGACAGCTAAACAACCAGACAGGAATGTCAATACTATATACTGTTGTCTCTATTATATTTACAAACTATTGTGAATGGACGTCCAGACCACTAAACAACCAGACAGGAATGTCAATACTATATACTGTTGTCTCTATTATATTTACAAGCTATTGTGAATGGACGTCCAGACAGCTGAACAACCAGGCAGGAATGTCAATACTATATACTGTTGTCTCTATCATATTTACAAGGTATTGTGAATGGACATCCAGACAGCTAAACAACCAGGCAGGAATGTCAATACTATATACTGTTGTCTCTATTATATTTACAAGCTATTGTGAATTGACATCTAGACAACTGAACAACCAGACAGGAATGTCAATACTATATACTGTTGTCTCTATTATTTACAAGCTATTGTGAATGTACATCTAGACAGCTAAACAACCAGACAGGAATGTCAATACTATATACTGTTGTCTCTATTATATTTACAAGCTATTGTGAATGGACGTCCAGACAGCTGAACAACCAGGCAGGAATGTCAATACTATATACTGTTGTCTCTATTATATTTACAAGCTATTGTGAATGTACATCTAGACAGCTAAACAACCAGACAGGAATGTCAATACTATATTCTGTTGTCTCTATTATATTTACAAGCTATTGTGAATGTACATCTAGACAGCTAAACAACCAGACAGGAATGTCAATACTATATACTGTTGTCTCTATTATATTTACAAGCTATTGTGAATGGATGTCTATATGTTCATATTTAAATGTTGTTGATACAGTCAAAAGTGTTTTAATCTACTTACGTTTGGGTTGTTTTTTGGGTGAAGGCTGATGCTGTCTTAAAACATCTAAACAATCTTGACATAGTTTGTTTGGTGGGTAAACCAGAGTGTCACACAGTGGACTTGCGCATTTAATTGATTCATCATCCATACAGGAAACTTGACTCGGCTCAATCATAGCATCAGATGGAGTTCCTGACTCCTCTAGATTATCTTCAATACTTCCTTGACGATTCATGTCTAATTCCTGCATGCCAGTTGCACTAAGTAAAACCTTTGTTGGGTCCTTAACCTTCTCCGCAGTAACGCCCTCAAAACAAGTCAGACACATTCCAAATTCATTTTCTTGACGAATACCATGACAGCCTGGCTTAGAGCACAGATATTTCGGTGTAAATCCATTTGTTGGTTTAGTTGTACCACTTGCACCTGATGTTACGGTCGGTTGACTTTTACTGCCAGTTGCTTGATGCTGATTGGTTGATTGTTTTAGAGCAGAGTTACTATTGGTTGATTGTTGGAGAGCAGGGTTCTTCTGATTGGTTGTTTCTTGTAAACCAGGAATTCCCTTTCGTAAAAAACATAATGGACAAAGACCGTTTTCGCTGATACTCGTTCCTTGACAACCAGAAGTCGAACACAATGGTTTTGCAAGGCTTCCAGACTTAGACGATGCACGTCTTGGAGAATTAGGGTATGGAATAACCTTCGCTTCTTTCCTCATGTTGGAGATCAGATGAGTCTGTGAATTAAACCTAGTTATCGGTACTGAAGGAACTTCAATCTCCCCTCGGCAACCATTTCCAGCACCGAAAAGTTCTGATTCTGATAAATCTGAATTCATAGCAGATGTTTCTTTTGTGGTAGTAAATGGAATAAAAGTTATTCCATTCTGGACATTAGTGTCTAACTTGGCGCTTAATTTGGTCATTTCTTCTGACTGATTGGATGCCTGCCGATGAACGTTCACTGACAGTTTTGTTTCTTGTCTCTGTGTTTTCTCCTTACATTCATGACAGAATGGATAGGTAGTCAGCGCACACATAAATTTACAGCCTGGAGTCTGACATACCTGTTCTACCATTGATATCAGATCAGACATGGAATTTAATGGACGTGATGGGGGAGGAGCTGTGGGGTTCTTTTCATTTAAAAACATATTAACTGGAGGTCCAACGTGTTCCATCGTATATTTCTTCAAACATTCGCTACACATGTTACCAGTAGAGGCAGTTCCGTACATGGTACAACCTTGCGTGATACATTGAACTGTTTGAAACTGTGACATTGTAGGTGGTGATACGTTCCTATCTAGGTATATCTTATGTGAATTTTGATCTTGCTGTCTGACGATCTGATTTGGTTTTTGATTTTCAAACACGCCATGAAGACTTCCCATGTCTATAAATCGACGATATTTTCTCTCGCAATCCTGGAAATAATCCGGAATCAAATTCAAATCTTCAGGTAGACTTTGGTCTCCAAGTTTCGCTCCAGAAATAGGTTCAGAATGAACCAAGTCTATCAAGTGGAGATAACTCGACATCAAATTAACTATTTTTCTTTCTTCTCCAGAATTCAGAAATCTTACTGGCAACATTGTCAAGTCTTGTTTCTGTAAAGGAATTGATAATTTTCGTGGACTGTTCCGATCTTCCTTCGTAGTTACCAATGGGGTAAAATGGTTGTAATTAAAGCCTAAGACGATTGGATATTTGTAGCATTGTTCTGGTTCAATGTCCAAGGGGAGATAAATACCAACGATATCGTTATCTTGTATACTGACAGCTTCTAAAGTTCGAATACGAGTATCTGCCATTACTATTATTGACCGTTTTAAAATGTTCGCCATCACGTATATATGTATTGGTTCTAGAAACGAGAGAGGGTTGGCAAAACTAGGGGTATGTCTGGGTTCCACGCTATCCACGATACCTTTCCATTCCTGTTCTTGATCCTAGAATGAAATTAATCAGTTTTCAGATTTAATAACTGAACTATTAGAGTTTTTATATTGTAACTATATTCCAAGGGGCCACAGCAACCCTGCTCACCCCAACCATAGTTCACATGATAAAATATTAAAGGAGGAAATGATGAACCCCATTTTCAAGTACATGAGAGAAATACATGCCCTGTTTACCAAGCTCCAATCACCACAGTACACTTCTTTATCATAGTGGAACTCAAAAACTGTGGACTTGGATTCCAAGAGTCAAAGACTATAGCAGTACTTTGTTACAGAGTAGTTCGCTTCAAAAAAAAGTAGTTCATATTGAAACAGAGTAGTACATTTTGAAACAAACTAGTACAAATTGAAACAAACTAGTATATATTGAAACAAACTAGTACATATTGCAACAAACTAGTACATGTTGAAACAAACTAGTACATATTGCAACAAACTAGTACATATTACAACAAACTAGTACATATTACAACAAACTAGTACATATTACAACAAACTAGTACATATTACAACAAACTAGTACATATTGCAACAAACTAGTACATGTTGAAACAAAGTAGTACATTTTCAAAAATTGAAATATAGTAATACTAACCATGGAATCAAACTGCAGTAAATTACCATAAACTTCGCTATTTCTGTTGGTCATAAAGTGAAAGTAGCGTTGTTTGAAAACATTGTGTTGATCTGTTTGTAGGGTACAATATAAAACCCGTCTCAGTAATAAACTGTTGTCCTCTACTCCCCAAATATACATTGATATTGAATGTAATAGACAGTTTCCATCTTCTATAATTACACAATGAATGAATGATTGAATGAATAACTGACTGAATGAATAAATGATTGAATTAATAAATGACTGAATGACTGAATAACTGAATGAATGAAATGACTGAATTAATAAATGACTGAATTAATGAATGAATGAATGACTGAATAAATGTATAACTGAATGAATACATGACTGAATAAATGTATAACTGAATGAATAAATGAATGAATAAATGTATAACTGAATGAATAAATGAATGAATAAATGACTGAATAAATGTATACCTGAATGAATAAATGACTGAATAAATGTATAACTGAATGAATAACTGAATGAATAAATGACTGAATAAATGTATAACTGAATGAATAAATGACTGAATAAATGACTGAATAAATGTATACCTGAATGAATACATGACTGAATAAATGTATAACTGAATGAATAAATGAATGAATAAATGTATAACTGAATGAATAGATGAATGAATAGATGAATGAATAACTGAATGAATAGATGAATGAATAGATGAATGAATAGATGAATGAATAGATGAATGAATAGATGAATAAATAGATGAATGAATAAATGAATGAATAGATGAATGAATAACTGAATGAATAGATGAATGAATAGATGAATGAATAGATGAATGAATAGATGAATGAATAGATGAATAAATAGATGAATGAATAACTGAATGAATAGATGAATGAATAACTGAATGAATAGATGAATGAATAACTGAATGAATAGATGAATGAATAGATGAATAAATAGATGAATGAATAACTGAATGAATAGATGAATGAATAACTGAATGAATAGATGAATGAATAACTGAATGAATAGATGAATGAATAGATGAATGAATAGACTGCATATACAAAGAAATGAATGAATGATAAAAATTTCATTTACAAAACAAAGTTAATAACTATTATTGCTTTGAAAATATTAGTAAATTAAGAAACAATATAATTAGAAAACAGCAGGGATGTTAATTGTGAATAAACCAACTAATTAAAATTTTTAAAAGTTCAATTAGTAAATTTTTTAAGATTAAATCAATTTTCATATTGGAATAAAGAATATTATAAGAAAATGTATTTCAAAATCCAATTAACAAATATAAATAACAAATGAATCAACCACTTGAATAGATATTTCAGAATCTAATAAATTACTAGGTTTAAATACATAAATAAATTAAAAGATAGCTTGCCAGGCAAGGTAACATACGCCCACTGGCAGCTGTCAGAAATGATAAAACAGTCTTTAGTGACTAAAGTATGATTTGTCCCATGTCAAAGAAATTTTAATAGTTTGAATTCAATTACATATATATGCCAGTTATTTATGCTGAGAAATTCCACCAAAAGTGAAACGTCAAGTCAGACACGATATTTCGGTGAAAAATTATCTGATCATCGATAGGGATCATCTACATAATGACATTGACACACAAAATCAAAAGAATCTGTAAAGAATTGTAGCCTGTAGAGTGAACACGAGTTGCACAATATAGCTAATAGAGTAAAACGTCAAGTCAGACGGACGGACCGACAGTGTGATTACAATATACGCCCATCTTATGTGTGAGCGTATAAAAATTGAATTGAATTGAATAAATAAAATCAGTGGTTCCCAACCTATTTCAGCCTTCCTTCACACCCCTGGAGCAGTCATCTGGACCTTTCACACACCCAAAAATTTGTTTCATCCACATTTTCAGCATGTGATGATGTCAGGTGCTCTCTCAATTCACAATAAATACTAGTCCCACACCGCTAGGGGGTGAAAACACTCTAGGTTGGAAAGAAAGAAAGAAAGAAAGAAAGAAAAAAAGAAAAGAAAAGAAAAGAAAAGAAAAGAAAAGATAAATAAATAAATAAATATGAAAGAGTATAGGTTATATGTAGTACGGTATAAAACTTACTAGTGGTATTTAGTGGGTATAATATCTGGGCTGTACGACACCAGTTGATGAGTTTTCCCTCTTCTAAATCAGACTTCATGTCCTGGTCTACCAATACCCTTTCTATCAGCCCCTGAAATTCTTCTGGCCATCTATGTAGTATTGGAAGTACTGTTGTTATTGAACAGAAACTCAGACACCAAAATTTTGCAGTTGTATCAACATTTTCACTTATTTTCCTGACTAATTTCTTGCTTTTCTCCGGATTCGATTCTTCAATTCTTCTCAGAAAAGTTTCCATCATATATTAAACCTGAAAAAAGAAATTAATTTTTACATTTTTTTTATGAATATCACTTTAGTTGGCCCCAGTATTTCAAAGAATCTTGCCTGATTTTTACATTTTGTGAAATTTCCATGTAAAAAAAACTTTGATTGTTGACAGGAAAGTTTTCAGCAAGTCTCAACAAGCTTACAGTTTTCAGTGCAACAGTTAACAATAACTTGAATATAGAAATATTAAAACAGAACCTAAAAAATCATGTTGTTACTCAGAGTCAGAGTTTCACGCTGTTGTTGTTTTTGATATTAGAGGATTCTGATGAACAAAGTCTCATTTTGGCCAAGTTTAAAAGTTTCTATTTTTTGGCCAAGTTTAAAAGTTTCTATTTTTTGGCCATCCGAAAGAGGTAGTACCGTACCTTATACCTTAACCATTTTAAAAACATCTTTGACTGTCTTAATAATTTTTAAAGTGATATTAACCTATCTAATATATCAGGATATTTGCTTAGTACTTAAATAAGTACAAAATATTTTATTTATTATCAGTAAAAAAAAAACTTAAAGATGGGTTTCCTTATTTTCATTTATGAAAATGTAAATGCTAATACTTATGTGAATAGAAAGTAGAGGTGTTCTAATGACTTTGATAAATACCAGTTTGTCTCACATGTCCATAATTAATTCATAATTAACTAAATTAGAAGAGAATTACCAGCAGAATTCCAATGAGTGACTGATCAAGAAAGGTCACCAGACTGTACATACATGGAGATTTATGATTGGTTAAAACTCTTAATTATATGCAATAAGAACATAATGATATGATTAAGAATACATGATAATTCATTTGAAACACCAATTAATCAAACAGTTTGCTAAATTTGACACTAAGAAAATAAGTAAAACCATCTTTAAGTGGTTCTCTAGTTCTTCATCAGTAAAGAACTAAATTGTATAAAATGTTATAAATGTTGAACATATTTAAATATTTTCTTATATTTTTATTATTCTATAATTATATTAGTCACCTTCTTAACGTCTGGTTGGTGTTGAAAAAACTTATGAATCAATTTAAACAAAATAACAGCCAATTGTAGAGTATGTCTAATTCTGAAGACTTGTACTAAAAATATGAAGCTGTTATACAACTCAACATTTTGAGTATAATTTACAACATTTGTTATAATACAGCTACTTCTCCTATCTCCAACGAAATATAGAATAGGGGAAACCCACTAACCCCAAATTAGATTTATTTTTTACATGAAAATTTGTAGAACATCAATGCCAACTTTCAGTAAACAACAACAATAAACAAGGGAGTAAATGGCCTGACATCGTTCTGGTTTGTTAAAATATCACAGTTTAATTAATGTGTAATTCTTGATATAAATAATTAATGGACATTATTGTCATTTACTTGTAAAATAATAATTAACGACTTTTAATTTCAGTGTAATATTCATCTTGGGATGTTGATATCTGTAACTCTTATCAACCTCACCAAGTCATAAATTGTAGAGTAGTAAGGTTTGGAAAGTCAAAGCTATTGATTATAACAGTCTAGTTTACACATTCAGAAACAGATCATTAAACTATTTCTAATTGAGACTTGTTTTATAATTTTAATTTCAACTGGAACAATCCACTGTATTTTTAGGTAGATTTTAAAATAATAATCAAGTTTAGGAAGTTTAGTCTGTATAGTTTCTATCACCAGTATTATTCATTCTACCTATAAAAAGTGGACTGTTCTTGTAGGTTTGAATCAGACCAGGATGAGCAGATATCTTGGCTCAGTAACAAACAATCTTGAAGACAAACAGGATGTTAAAACTCTATGATGTTAAATTTCATTTATGAGATATTTAAACTGTTGTTATGAAGTCCACTAATACGTCTTACTGTACCGATAGTCCAAGTTCCTGTATATTTAACAATCATTTCATTGTACTGGTTGTTAACAATAAGCTAATATACTGTATTACTCCTTCAGCTTTGTGCTCTCCTGTCTTATGTACGGTCTGTATATCTTACAAGCCCTTCATTGTAGTATGTCATATTACTAATTATGTTTTTATGACTGTCTACTGGTTGGTTATAATTGCAACTTCTTGTTGCTATGTTTAATCTCAAATGATAATGCATTTCAATATTTTCAGCCGTATCCATCACTGGGATTTAGTGACTCAAACAAAAGGTGCCTTCAGTGTCTAATGCTTCTCTTAAAAATACATCTGGAGAGGGAAATATTTCATTGGCTGGTGGATGAATGTTCAAGAGGTCCCTAGTTACGCAATCTCAGTCGGTAGGCTAACGAGTTGGATTGTCGTCTCCTAGGTGATTAGGTGCCATGGGTTTGAATCCTCTTCAAAGTAAGAAAAATTCTGATGCCTGTGCCAGGCCTTCAGAGAGTCAGCCCATGGTCAGCTCTTACCTACTACCAGTAATACCTAATTGAAAGGATAAATATAACATAAAAGCTAGTGAGGAACAAAACGAAAGCTTGGTCTAATGTCTAATTAGCCCATAGATACTAAAACAAACAATAGAATCTATGCAGTCTATGGCAATGCCTATTAGTTTATGCCTTTTCTTAGATGACACACCCTAATCAATGATAGTAAAAAACCACCCATATTTCAAAATCTTTAGTTTCAGTTTACACTACATCAGGAAAAATGCCGAAGAAACAGCAGTAACGCCCGGAAATTCCATTTATTCTGAAATAATATATTTCTAAAAAAGGGGAATTCCCCTTCAGCTCAGCTTTAGACTCTCGAGCTGCCAGTTTGATTTGAAAAGTAAATCCTCCAGTCTGACACAAAATTCTACAAAATAAATAAAATTAAAAATCTACTTACGATACAATAATATACATATGAAATCACAAATAAGAATAAATTTAATTATTTAATGTTAATTTTCTTGATGAAGGCGTTGTTTTGCGATCTAACTGATTTCTTAATATTATAGGGAAATCCCCGTAAATGTTCTGATTGGTTTAAATTCCATCTCGAACGACCAGGCGCTCATGTGACAAGGAAGCTATTTTCTTGAATTTTCAAATCATATTCAAAACTTACTTAAATTTTAAATACTTATGAAACTTGATATAACTTAATCCAAAATTATCAAAGAAATTCAAATTCTTTTTTGTTAAAAATTTACTAGTATAACAGACGACATGGAAGATAGAGTCTATCAGGGCGGATGTAGTCACAACTCGCTGGAGTCCAATAGAGTTTATACTGTAGCGAGTGTAAACAATTCAACACACAAAGAGCAATTGAAATTGCGTTTTGCTTAAATATAACTGGAATTTACATGACTAAGTAAACACATAAGGTAACATTTTATTTGTTTCGGTATTGAGTTGGATTTTACTGTTAAAATATTAATTTTACGCCATTTTCAGCATCAATTTTCTTAGAATTTCAATGTTAAATTTGACACTTGACGTCTTGGTCTGGATAAATCTTTGTTGTGGCTGACCATCAGAAGACACTGAACCAAGTAAATATTGTATTGGAGGTATAGCCAAAATTTACTGCACCCTCTATTCATTTGATAGCATTGATCAGATAAAATGGAAACTCCTAAAGATATTGATAGTAACGCCTTATGTTGTTGACATACAAAAACACAGGGTTAACAGTCAAAACTATTGTGAAATTTGAATGTCAAGTCTGACAGCAAATGCTTCTTCCAGTAATGAAAAGACTGGGTTTATGTTTATAGGGGACTAGCATTTACTGATTCTAAAGCAAGATCTTTAATATCCAGCCTTTACTTTTTCTTGAATTCTTGAAGCGAAGTTTTGGTTTTATGAATGCAAAAGTAAGGAATAGCCCAGTAAAACAGTAAAAGTAAATGCTAGGTTTTATGAATTAGACCCAGTTGTTCTGTTTTAACTCCTCCAACCTGCATCACTGACAGTGGGAAACCTGATCAATATTACTTATATAAATACAATCTAAAAATAATGTGGATTGATCCAGTTTCCATTTAAAAATGACCTAGATCTGCATAAATGACTTTACTTGACTAAAAATGAAATGAATGGAGTTTTATGCCCTATTTTTCTGCAACATATGGGCTAATGAAGACGGGCAACGACATGCAGGGTGCAATGAGGGAAATTTTGCCAGGACAGCGGCATTAGCCTGCTCTTTTCGATTTCCAACTGTCGAGGGATCTTTAACATGCACAGCCAGTAGCACACAGGAACTCTCTTTATTGTCCAATGCGAGTGATTAGACGCTCTTTCAATGTCAGCCCCTCTTACCTACATCACTGACAGGGGAAAACTGGGTTGAATATCCGAAGGTATATCTCGACCTATGCCGGGATTGTACCCTGGTTAGCGAGCAAGCGTCCAATTCACTGAGCCACTGAGACTCCCTTTTACTTGATCAAACTAGCAAGTATAATAAATGATAACTTAAAAGATGAAGAAATAATAGATACATATTTTTAGTTTTGACTGATTCATTTCAAGATATTTATATATTTATTTCTAAGATGAAATTTAGTATAAACTTAACAGTTCACGTGAAGGTTTATTGAAATACTGTACCAGTCAGAGGTTGTAAACCTTTATGATTCATTGTTACAAACTAGACTTTGAACTTTTCACTCACTAGTTTTTAACAATAAATATCTGAACACGTGAAACAATTTTGCATACAAAAAATCTTGTGATGGGTGTTATAGAAGATACTCTCCCATAGAAGCACTGACCAGGGTAACCTGTGTTGGGTGTATGTGTTTAGTTGAAGTGCAATGTTCGACGATCTGTAATTTTCGGCGTTGTACTCTCCTTTAGAAGCACTGGCCAGGGTCACAAGAATACTTCTTTTACATCAATTATCAATTTGAGTAAAATAATGATTCAAAGGGTACTGGGTAATAAAGTGTATTTCTCTGTGTGCAAAGAGAAATTGCAACAAATACTGCTTACAAAAAAAAAGGTGTAATTAATTGATTGTATTAGTGGATCATCAGGTGATAGAAAAGAGAAAGCATGGTCTGCTTTGCATGTGACTCCCGCCACTACTATACACATTATATCAAGGGAGTTAATTTGATTGAATTTACAAGTCATGGTTGATTGGAGCTCTAGTTTTAAAAATGATGATTTAATTTATGATGGGTAATTAATTATGTAATAATTAATAATTATTTTGAGAAAATTAGATTTTAATTAAAATCTTGATAAGGATAAATTGATTAAAATGATTTATTTAGTATTTTTTTTAGAAAAGGCAGGGATAAATTAGCTAACTGGTTGAGATTTAACACCAGGGGCCTTATACTTGAAAACTTCAATAAATAAAATCCAGATTTTAATACACAGCACTCTGATTGGATAATAACATTAGATTAAAAATCTTTATCAGTGATTGACCAATCAGATGCCTGGACCACTTGAAATGAATTATCAAGTTACGTTATAGTTCTATTTCAAGTCAATACATTTAAAGGATTTTGGGTCTAACTTTCTGGACAGTCTAAACTCGAGATAAAACTTGTATGCGATTGTAAAACTTGTATGAGATTGTAAAACTTGTATGAGATGTAAAACTTGTATGAGATGTAAAAGTGTATGAGATTGTTGTGGTTTAATATATCTGGACTGTAACTGTGTCTATACCTTGGATTAAATTTGATCAGGAACATAAAATTGTTTTAAGGGATTTATATTAACATGTATTCCAAAAATAGTGAATTGTTTGAAAAGGTTATTATCTATTTTTTTCTGTTGTTTTTGTGCACTATGATATTTTTTTTTTGTAGGAGGGGGTCTGTGGAAATTGAGTTAACGATTCTAGCCTATATAAAATGGTCGCTGGAATACTTCCCGATCACCTTTACTTTACGGCTTTAACCCTTTGAACCCTGAGTGTAAATAAAATAAAGCATTAAAGCGTGTGATGTCACTTAGTAACAGCTGGTTTAACAGCTACTCAGGTACATATATTGCGTGATCATGTGGCGGGTCGATCATGTGGCGGGTTGATCATGTGGCGGGTAAACCGGCCGCAAGGGATGAAAGGGTTAATGCATTCTTAAGCTATTTTTAAACTAAAGTGAATTCTGATATTTTTGTTTTTGTAGATGATAAATATAATCGAAGGGACGTTGTATTTAATATTCAGCGCTATCAGTCTGGTGCTGACACCTATAGTCAATTTTATATTCCATACCATATATGGTAAGGGTAAGACGGTTCCACCAATCAGTGATGACCTACTGCTAGAGAGTGCCACAAGTCTGGCTCGTAAAATACGCCATAGAAAGGTAAGATGATTAACATTGTCTCTTTAACATGTCTGAAACTATGGTTACAATGAAGAAAGATGATACATAGTGGTACAAGACAGATTTCATCTCCATTTATTTATATACTATACAGCACATATAGAAATATTAAAACAGAACCTGAATCATGTTGTTACTCAGAGTTTCACGCTATGTGATACAGCACAATTATATGAATAAAAAATACTTTAATAAATAACTTAGAACATGTAAATGATGATACTCTCGTCTTTATCAAGCAGTAATCATCATCGTCGAAACTTCATGCTATATTTTAAGTAAAAAAAAATTATTATATCCTAGAGTGTGTGATCAGGGTGAAAAATTTTCACTGAAAAAAATCAAGTATAAATGTTAGGATAAAATTTTTTATATAAGTGGGATTAAGCTTAAAGATCTGAAACAGCACCCAAAGTTAAAGAGACAGTTTTGCCATTTTTTAGTCTTAGAGAGAGAATTTTTAGCTAAGCCAATCAGTAATAGTGTTCACAGCTCACTGTCAAAATTTGAGCTTTCAAATCCATGTGTGTCCAGAATTATCCGCATTAGAAAGTTATAATCTATAGAAATAGGAAAAGAAATTCCTAGTTTGAGTTATTTTTGAAGGAATAATGCTATTTTAGTACATTTCTAGACTATTTACATATAATCCAGACTCAAATCATCTTGAAAATAGCGATTCTGTCCTTTTAATTTTAAAGTTTATACAGATTTCTATGTAAACACAGAAATTGAAAGTCGTGTCCCTGAAGTCAGAACAGATATATGTATTGGCCAGGTTGATTTTTTTAATTCTCATTTTTTTTTGGCTCAGAAAACAAAATATTATTTCTTGGTAGAACTTGTATAATTATATTTCTCCTTTGGTTATATATATTTTTTAGGTACGAGCAGAAGATGTAATGAATATATTTATTGCAAGGGTAAAACAAGTCAACCCCGTTGTCAACGCTGTGGTTGCTGAGCGATATGAGGAGGCCTTAAAAGAGGCACGTAGTGTCGATGCTATTTTAGAGCATGGAAATGTCCCAGAATCCTTTTCAGAAACATTCAAACCTTTTTTGGGTGTTCCACTGTCTGTGAAAGAAGCTTTCGCTACAAAAGGTATGAATTTTTAATTTTTTGAGTAATACATCGTCTCATCAATACGTCCAAAACTATAACATATTTCTATCATGTTTTACTTAAGCAGGTAACCTTCGAAGTTTGGACTAAGGTTATAGTACTTGGATTAACTTCAGTACTAGAATGCTGCTAGCTACCCTCATATATTTTATGGAGATCGCCTTATTGAAAAAATAGACCATTTACCAGGACAATATTTCAGCCTTTCATGACTGAGACAACTAACAAACTAGCAGAAACTAACAGAAACTAACAGAAACTAACAGAAACTAACGAACATTGGCTAAGGTTGAGCCGATAGAGATTATAGATATTCATGATGTCATGTTATTCCAAACTGACTGGATACACTGTCTACTTCCTCTAAAAGAGTAGACGAGAACAACCCAGCCTTCAAAATAGCCAATGGGTAGATATGCTATCAAATGACGAGGGCAGTAGTAGAAGGTTTTATAAGAGATACTCTCTTATAGAAGCACTGGCCTAGGTCACAAGTAGGGACTGTGGATTTCAGTATTGGAATACATCAATTTGAAAAGAAGTTACCTACTTCTGGAGAGATTTACAAGATAAAAAAATAATTCAGAAATGCAAAGCGATTGTTTCAGGGAGTTAATGAAAGGGGATCTAATATACCATGGACAAGAACATTACTCAGCAGTAGTGAACGAGTCCATTCAATAATTGTAATATATTAATAGGGATGTAACTTTTAAACAAACGATTGGAATTACTTTGTATTTCTAAAGAGTATTTGAAAAACAACCCAGTCTTAAAAAAACCAACAACTATCTTAGATTGAAAATGTACTTGAAGCATTGATTTGTACCATTCCAATTTACAATCTGTCTTTGGTTCTTGCAATGCCAATCAGTGGTATCACAGTGGCACTAAGATATAAGATAGTGAGGATATGAAACTTTAAGAAAGTCTCTTGAAAAGGGCTGTAGTGAGGCCATTCAATGATTATAATATATATATATATTTACCTGACTAACAAAGTATTATAGATTGAATGTTATCTACCTATAAATATACCTATATATATACTACCTGTCAATATACTAATATACTAATATACTCTATGCCTACCTGTCAATATACCTATATATATACTACCTGTCAGTATACCTATATACTAATATACTCTACACTTACCTGTCAGTATATCAGTATTGAATATCTCTGATGTAATATCATTGATATATTATTAGAGCATTAAAAAAAGTATGACCAATATTCTTTATTAGACTACTGAGTATATTTCTAATATATTATTAAATATTATTTATATCATAGTTTCTGAAAGCTGAACAAAATTTAAACCTAAATGAAATTCACAAACCAACATTACAACTGTTGCATATTGTGTAAAAGCCAGAATTGATTTCACAATATTTACAAAAACCCATATATTGTTAAACACTGGGAAGTGAAACGAAATGAATGGAGTTTTTTTCTTTTCTGCACCATGTGGGCTAATGAATTAGCCTGCTCTTTTTCAATTTTCAACTGTCGAGGGATCTTTAACGTGCACAGCCTGTAGCACACAGGGCCTCGGTTTATTGTCTCATCCGAACGACTAGATGCTCTTTCAATGTCAGCCCTCTTACCTACATCACTGACAGGGGGAAACCGGGTTGAAAAATCGGAAGGTATTGTTAAACACTGGAAGAAAGGATTTAGACATTATTGCAGTTTGTGTGAAAATGTAGTTTTATTCTCCATATTTAAATGATTTTATTTTTCAAATGATTAGTCACTCACTAAAATTGTTTTAAATTTTGTTTATCAATGAGATGATGGTATTTTGGATTTTGAAGTAACATCTTTGAAATTAAGTGATTATAGCAATTCCAAGCAGAAAATATAAAACCACAAAATATTGAAGGAAAATTTTAGGGGTCTTTCTGTAGTTTCTAATTCTAGAATAAAAATAAAACTAAGAAAATTCATGCCATTTAGAAAGTAAAAAAATAGATATGTCATTTCGTTAGGGTCCCTAAAATAAGATTTTATGGTTCGATTTGGTCCATTCTAGAAATTTGTCTACAAGTGATTATTTCCAAATCTAAAGAAAGTCAAACCATGCCGCTTAAACATCTTGACAACATCATTTACAACACCATTTACAACACCATTTACAACATCATTTACAACATCATTTACAACATCATTTACAACATCATTTACAACATCATTTACAACATCATTTACAACACCATTTACAACATCATTTACAACATCATTTTGAATTTAGCAAACCTTTTTCTGTTGAATTTACCGTGGAATTTTTTTTTTATTAGTTTTTATTATAGAGCCACATTACAGTAGGTTTTTGAACATTCGTCAAATTAACCTTCTGACCTAACCTAATGACATTTGCTTTGAATTGCCCTAGAGTCTATTTGTTTATTTATATTGACAAACTATGTTTATGTCTATAATAAGCGGTTAAACTTATTTTCAGTATATCAAGGGCTGTAACTCTGTCAAAAAAATCTTCTGATTCAAACTTATCATTTATATTAAGTAGAACTAAAACTTTCGGATTCATATTTTGATGATTTGGATTTATTTATTGGTTTAAACTTGTGTATAATCCTTGTTTCTTGACCCTAAGTCCTATTTTGTTTTCCAGATATGCCCCATACATCAGGGTTACTGAGTAGAAAAGATGTAATCGCCACCTATGATTCTCCCTGTGTGTCGAATCTCCGTGATGCCGGGTTCATTCCCTTCGTTAGTACCAACACTAGTGAACTGTGTATGTGGTATGAATCAGCCAATCATATTTATGGACGAACTAAAAACGCCTACAACACAAGTAGAATAGTAGGCGGCAGCTCAGGTGAGAGTTAATGTTTGTTTATCATGTATATCTCTTATAGGAGCTAGTTACAATATGTCCCATCAATCAGATGTCAGTCTCAGAACCAGAATTGTTTGGCAAAGCTTATTAGTAATAGTGTTTGATTTGTCAATTAGAACTTTCAATAGAGGTCTGTTGCTCAGGAGTGAGGTTAGTTGTTTGGTTTCAGAGCAGACGTAAAATCTCATTATGAAATACTTCCTGATTTATAATTGATTGATAAACTTCCTTGTATCATTGTATTGCTTTTTGGGGGGATTTGTTTTGCAGTTTAGATCATTAGTTTTTGTTTTTTTTTATAATTTTATTTTCAATTCATTGTGCTCAAACATGCTGTAAATATCCATGTCTATCTTTCTTTCTATATGGGCAATTATTTGGTCATTTTGTTGCATTTATGCATTGTTTATATGGAAAGAATCTTAGAATAAACACTGCTATAATGATAAACAATACAAAGAGGCTTTTCATAATAACCAAGATACAAGTCTTTAGGGCTAGTTGATATTGGTTCAAGTTGATATCACGACATTAAGCATTAATATATCACAATATGGGTATATATCGGCGATATTTTTTAAGTTTGTTTTTTACTGGTTTTTGAAACAAAATGATGATCTAGAAATTTTAAATGTAACATAAAACAATAAATATCTCTAAAAACACCCCAGTCTTTAACATTATGAAAAAAACATCTGTATCAAATAGTAAGTTACTTGTTAAAATTGTGTAGATGATCTTATCTGGACAAAAATTAACGATATCGTGATAACTACCATATATCACGATATCGTGATAACTACCATATATCACGATATGGTGATATTTCAGTATCTTTAATCAGGCGATATAATTAACAATATAAATTCCTATACCAATATAATCTCTTCTGGGGTTAAGTAGCTTGTGGGGTCAGATATCTTATATAGCTAATATATGTTATATTTTCAGGGGGTGAGGGATGTATAATCTCTACCGGGGGTTCAGTAGCTGGTGTGGGGTCAGATATCGGTGGTAGTATTAGAATGCCAGCGTTTTTTAATGGTGTTTACGGACATCGTCCTTCAAAAGGTAAGTCAGTTTGCTGGTTTATATTGATTATTATAATTTGTTCTATTTGTCATTGCATAACAATAAATATTCAAGTTTCAAGTGGCTCAACTGTCCAGTCTGCTTTCTGATAGACTTAGAATGTCTTTGCGTTGATAAAAATGGTCCTCTGTAAAAGCAAATTTTGAAGACATTATGTGTTCTTATGTTTATATTTTTATCAACGCAAAGGCATTCTAAGACAACAGTACTATTTTAAGGCTGCTATTCCAAAAAAACTTTTATTCACATAAAAAATAATAGAAAAAATTCAAAAAACTTTTCACTTTGCTCAGACAATATGATATGATGTTGGCAGAAAAAGTAGTTAGCGGTTTAAGCCTACTCACAACCTTCTCTAAGACATATTTACATCCCTACGCTAGGTAACATTGTTGCCTCATGGAAAAAATACGTATAATTCATAGATTTCACCAAATGTTGTTTATAATTTGACAATGTTTATATGTTGTAGGTATTGTATGTAACGAGGGTCAGTATCCCCCAGCAACGAAAGGTCAAATAGACCTCCTATCAACGGGACCAATGTGTCGTTATTCAGAAGATTTAGCTCCCATGTTAAAAGTTATGGCCGGACCAAAATCTAAATTATTAAAACTTGAACAAAAGGTAAATATTCTGTATTCATCTTTTATTTTCACAATAATGAAATTCATGTTTTAAGAAGAGAAATTTTGAGTATGATGGTTGTAGAAATACATAGCTTTGTGCTTTTTATTGGAACAGCTAATGCCGCTGGCAAAATTTCCCTCATTGCACACTGCATCACGTTGCCCGTCCTCACTAGCCCAAACAGGTGCAGAAAAGAAGACGTAAAACTATTAGGTAAATATATTTGTAACTGTAGGTGGATTTGAAATCTCTACGTATATTTACTATGGAAGATGATGGAGGAAGTTTATTAATCAGTAATGTTGACCCAGAATTAAAGGCAGCTCAAAAAAAGGTAGTATATATTCCTGAATATAATGTGCAAGTAGGGCTGGGTATGGATTACTAAATTGAGATAGATTATCGATGACAGACTACCGATCAATAATCAATTAATAATTGTAATATTTTAATTGAGGAACCCAGTAAATACAAAATTCTTAATTTCATGGGTTATTTTTGCATCATAGGAGTATATTCTATGTGGAAGAGATTACTACTTGTTAACGAGTACAGTGGAGGAAATATAACTTTGACATATAATGGATTATGAAATTTGATAATCGATAATCAAAATTATACATTCGTAGTGACGATAATTCAGATTTACCCAGCCCCATGCACAAGCATGTATAATACATACCCCTTATTATACTCCTGTATATCTAGGAAAATCTCTGTAAATAATGCAAGTTGGCATAACACCATAATAGTTTGAGGTAATATTGCGTATTTATTTATTCAGGCCAACTTGTAAACTTAGTTACTACGTACAACATGTCTTAAATTTCATCTTCTCTCTTTTTCCTTATATTTCAAACATTCTTATATTATTCAATAATTGTTATTTCTATTCCCTAATACTGAGGTCTAGTTTTTATGAAAAATAACAAATTTACAACAAAAAGAAATCACAAACAATAAGCATCTCCTCATCGAAACACGATTGCAATTTCAGTCATAAACTGACCTTCATCAGGTATAATCTGAAGAGTCATCATAATTCCAGTTCTTAAATTAACCCTGTCATTAGGGTGGGGTCCGTGGGGGCTGGGCCATAGCAAGTGAGAATTAAACCGCAGCAAAACCTTCTTCAGTTCAGCAGAGATTAGAGACATTTCAGATTGAAATTTCTGGGAAGTGAATTGCGTTTCTCAACAATGTAAACCAAAAACATACAACACTAATTACACGTGCTTCATCAGATGAAATAATGGAAATATTATAGAAAAAAACAAACTTCTTTAATAAATATTCAACACATAACATTTCAACACAAGGTAAAAATACATTTGATAACAAAATAAATATAAAATAAATGATAAATTGTGTTGAAACATTGTGTTGAATATTTTATTAAAGAAGTGTGTTTTATTATATAATATTGTGTTGTGTTATATATGTACCCCTTACTTCTAAATATCATTCAAATCTTTTAAATTTACACTTACACAAAAATTATATTATTATCTTTGTAAAGACAATCTTTCAGTACTCTAATGAAACAAATATCAGCCACTTTCAATTTACCTAAAGATGTGCCAAGAAAATAGTTGAAAAGTTTTTATCTTTACTAACAGTAAAACAAAAGCCAATTATGTAAATACTGTCATTAAAAATTCGTGAGAGGCTTTTGGTGGTAAATGGTAAAAAAGAAAGAAAGAAACCACTTAAAATAATATTAGATATAATTACCTGCACAAGCTAAGTGAAGGGGGTTAAATGTCGACATTAAGGCACAGTTTGGGATGCATTGGCTGTAACATCAGTGTTTTTCTTGCCTTGATTAGGATTTGAACCCATGGCACCTAATCGTCAAGCACACAACAATCCAACTGGCAACTTATTGAGCTATTCTAGCTTTGTATATGTACAACACTTTTGTAAATATCTGCAATAAATGGAGTTATTTCCCTTAAAATACAATTTTAATCAATGATATAGATATAATTAGTTGATATTATCTCAAAAATCTCCATATTTTACTCCTTTTTAACTGCAGACTAAAATTTAAGGAACCTTACCTTCGAGGAAAATTTTGCCAACTCGGCTTCTAAAAATATAACCAAGATATTGATGAACAGGGTGAAATACAAAATAGAATTTCTAAAATGGAATTTCCCATCAGGAAATTTTGAAACATTATCAATAGTTCACTTTGTTTGATCAAGTTCTAAAGTTTATTCAGGCATTATAGAATATATTTTGGAGTTAAAATCATTTTCTGGATATTTTTGGTAAGAATCCAGTATTTTTCATTTGAAAAAAAAAAAACAATTTTTGGGGGTTTTTGTGAAAATTATGAATTAAATTTAAATCTAGTTTAAATGTTTAGCTCTTTTTAAATCATACATAATGACTAATTTTGAAAATGAAAATTTTTGATGAAACACTTCAAGGTAATATTTGAGCTATTTTGACTCATAATAACCAAATCTTTCCTCCCTCTATGAGGGCGTTATTTGTTTTGGCCTGAGCTTGGAATCAATTATTGGGACTTTGAATGGGTAATTTACCAAATTTCTAAAAATAGACTCTTAATCTCGATATTCAATGCTCCAGATTGGCTGAAATAGTGAAGTGAACTGACAGTAAATTTACATTTTGGAATTTTTTTTGTGACGCAACTCTGTTTCGATAGGCGTTAATCAAATTAAAGGTAGAGTACCAAGTAATAATATTGATAACATACAAGGATGGAAATTTTTGCGGAATTTTTGTTTCCTGTCATTTTTCATCCTGCTTGATAAATGTTATTTTCTTAATTTCAAATATTAAATCAAACTTTATATGTAACAATACAGTATAGGGTTCAATTTAAACTGTATCACATCCCAGTTTTCAATTCAAAATGGCTCCATTTATGATCCAATACTGATTATGACTGGCCAATATACAAATTTATAACAATATCTGCAAATAATAATAATAATAACTTTGTTTTGGCAACCCATTTAGACAGAAGTCTAATTTTCAATAAATCAAATCTTATATTTCTCATGGGAATCTTCTGTTTAATCTAGAAATATGAGTCAAGTCAAGGTCATCTCTATAATTTAAGGAATTATTATTAACATCATTGGCAAAATCTATTTCAAATCTACCACTGGAACATTTAAAATTGCTACCCAATTTCAACCAAATGCGATTCAAAATTTAACTGAATTAGCCAAAACTGAAATTTGAAATGCTCTTGAAAAAAACAGTTTATAGATGGCAGGTGAGATGACTTACAGACAAAAACATGAAAACGAAACATCGTGATTTGCATTTTGATTAGATTGAGTAGCAGGAAGATGGATGTAAAACTCCATGTCATTTTATTAGAACTGGACAGCTTTGTGTAAAAAAGAATAATGTCAAATTTCTGACTCTGTTTTCTGTATTTTACAGGCAGTGAAATATCTGGAGGAAACAGTAGGGGTGAAGGTCACGCCTGTCAATATCCGCAGAATGAAATACGGCTTCGATGTGTGGTGTGCAAAAATAGCACTGGCAGGAGGAACTACTTTTTCAGAATTCATGGGCAATGAGGAATATTCGGTGAATGGATATATGGAGTTTGTGAAGTGGGTTTTTAACCAATCAGATCACACGTTACCTGCCATAATGTTGTCAATGATAGAAAAACCTTCGTTCTTAATGGAATCCAACAACAAACGTTTGATGGGAATTTTGAAAAAGTTAGAACAGGACATTCACTCGTTGCTAGGTGATAATGGAATCTTGTTGTATCCATCTCATCCTAAAATTGCTCCGTTTCATAATCAACCAATCGTCATGCCTTTCAACTTCGCGTACACGGCTGTGTTTAACGCCCTAGCCTTACCCGTTACCCAGACTCCTCTTGGATTAAGTAAAGATGGCCTCCCACTCGGAATGCAGATCGTCGCATCTTTAAACAATGATCATCAGACAATAGCTGTTGCTAAGGAACTTGAGAAAGGTGCGATTGCCGGATGGGTGCCACCTGCTGGGGATATCAAAACAACAAAGTGAAGTAAAATGGATACAATATAAAGGACATGAACACTAGTTGGCAAAAAATGGCTGAAACGGCTGACAAATATCTCTCATTGCACACTGCAAGGGGCATCTGTCTTCATTAGCCCAATCGGTGCAGAAAGTAGGAGGTAAAACTCTATTCATATCATTTCATTTTAAATTTGCAGTAACTCTTAAAGTTGACATGAACATCATGAAATATGACCTATCATCTAGATCTATATCTTTATAATGTTCTATGTTTTCAATTTCAACTAATTACTGATGTTTGTGAGACAGGGAAACTCAATTTTCTAGAACACTTGAGTTTACATGTAGCCTGTATTGTAAAAGCATCATGAAATACGCATATCAAAGACCAATTTGTCTTAATAACTAATGTCCTCAACCAATATCTAATAACAGTTTCGATGCTGCTCTATGACAGAACGTGCTCAATTTTTTATAACACTCAAGTTTACATGTACATCTAATAGTGTCTTGTATTATCACTATCGTGTTAAGCCTTTGATTTTCAACTTTGATCTATTATTGATACTGCTTGTAAGGTAGAGTATGCTCAATTTTAGAAAACTCAAGTTTACCTGTTCATCTTATAGCATCACAAAATATTACTATTAAGACCAAAATCTTTGTATGCCATGGATTTTCAATTTTGACCTATTATTGAACTGATCAGGGAAAGCTCAATTTCCAACAGCACCTCAATAACCTGAACATATTATGGATGTATCACAAAAATATCACTATCAAGATTAAAACTTCTGGCCCATATCACAAAAACTTTGTTAACCAGATAACTGTAGATCTTAAATCTAGATTTGTTAACCAGATAACTGTAGATTTTAAATCTAGATTTGTTAACCAGATAACTGTAGATCTTAAATCTTGATTTGTTAACCAGATAACTGTAGATCTTAAATCTAGATTTGTTAACCAGATAACTGTAGATTTTAAAATCTAGATTTGTTAACCAGATAACTGTAGATTTTAAAATCTAGATTTGTTAACCAGATAACTGTAGATCTTAAATCTAGATTTGTTAACCAGATAACTGTAGATCTTAAATCTAGATTTGTTAACCAGATAACTGTAGATCTTAAATCTAGATTTGTTAACCAGATAACTGTAGATCTTAAAATCTAGATTTGTTAACCAGATAACTGTAGATCTTAAAATCTAGATTTGTTAACCAGATAACTGTAGATCTTAAATCTAGATTTGTTAACCAGATAACTGTAGATTTTAAAATCTAGATTTGTTAACCAGATAACTGTAGATCTTAAATCTAGATTTGTTAACCAGATAACTGTAGATCTTAAAATCTAGATTTGTTAACCAGATAACTTTAGATCTTAAATTTTGATTTGTTAACCAGATAACTGTAGATCTTAAATCTAGATTTGTTATCCAAATAACTGTAGATTTTGAAATCTAGATTTGTTAACCAGATAACTGTAGATTTTAAAATCTAGATTTGTTAACCAGATAACTGTAGATCTTAAATCTAGATTTGTTAACCAGATAACTGTAGATCTTAAATCTAGATTTGTTAACCAGATAACTGTAGATCTTAAATCTAGATTTGTTAACCAGAGAACTGTAGATCTTAAATCTAGATTTGTTAACCAGATAACTGTAGATCTTAAATCTAGATTTGATCTTAGTTGAGTCTGTGTGAACTATTTTCATGGTTTATTTAATATGATCTGTATTTATATCACTATAATTTATTTTTCGTGCAATTTACACACCTTTTTTAATTATATTTTGATTTAGCAGCAAAGTTTCAATCTAGATTTATATGATATTGATCTTATACAAAATAAAAAAGATGTAATAGTTTTGGACAAAATTTATTATCCTAGTCCTTGATATGAGGTTTACCTGCTAGAGTGAAACACGGTAGTTTTAATTGGAAGATGTTCCACTGTTAAAAAAGCGCTCAATAAAATGGAGTCAAGTACATGGTTATTGTCTTTTACTGTATTTATTTATATACTACATACCTTCCTTATGAAAATGACTGTCTAACCTTGTAACTAGATTTAAGATTTCCATCTAACAAACATAAGTAATTTCAAATAACACTTTTCTTATCAAGTGATGACATTATATTCTGAGGTCTTCAAGGATAATTGCCTTGAAATTAGCGAAAAAACAGAATTACTACAGAAAATTTATTGTAATGTGTTTAAAAAGAGATATGAATTTGTAAGGATGGAATATATGGTGTTAAAGGCAATTGGTTTTTCTCATCAAAATATTTTCTCATTTGTGTGTTCTTGTATTCAGGACCAGGTTGTTATTTACTACCATTTTATATTGTTTGTGTATACACTTTATTTGTTGATGTTGTTTATTTATACTGAAGTTTTATCTCATTTCATTTTTTTTGTATTGTGGAAGCTTAAAGAGATTGTAAAGAGGTTTTCTTAACTCTTTATGTGTATTTGGGACAATGATCTCATCAATTTACACCATTCAAATTTTTTTCAGACATCTGTAATCTTGAAATTCCACTAAAAGTAAGCATTTATTGACGTAACTATGGTAAAGATATTACTCGCAGCTTTTGGTAGAGTGACGTTATAAAATGATTAGTTTTGGTGGAATTTCTCTAACCACAGACGCCTGATTGAAAATTGGAATGGTGCAAATTGATGAGATCATACCAAATTTAGAAAACCTCTTTACAATCCCTTAAAGATGAATATAGTGGGTTATATCCCAGCCCGGGAGCACTGTTTTTATGGGTCCAAGGCGTAGGTGGCTTTATCATGTGATATATCATGTTTATTGTATAAGCAAAGACAAAGTGAGTGGAATTAGAATTTGTAAAGTAAAGATATAAAGTTCAATGTAAAAGCAACATGATTTATGTTTTTCTTCTGTAAATCATGTAATAAACAGGTTTTAAAATACATGTAGAGTTTATTATTCCAGATACCTTCTAGAAACGTTTCTTCACAGAACAGAACACGCAGTTTCATTTCTACGGGGGTTTCAAAATTCAAAATTCAGCAGCTCTGTCAAAACACCATATAGGTCCAAACTTTAGTGGAGTTTTTGAGGTGGTTCTTCCTAAAGAAATTTTTGAAAACTTAACACTTATACTTAAACGTGTAAAAATCGCATTCCCAGATTTGTTAGAAATAAGGTGAGAATACAAATCACCTTTTCTATGGCCACCCTTGTCAGGCATCAAATAGAAATTTTATTTGCATGTTGTCAATTGTTACATCAAGTTAACAGGAAAACAGTTTAGCGAGGTCTGGGTTCCCTATACTTCCAAAATAATTTCGTTTTAAAGAGGTTTCAACTCCGGTAACCAGAAAACCCTGGAACTTTCCTTCAGATACTGGTTGTCTATTGTAAGTCAATTTCCTCAGAGGGTTAAGCCTTGACTTCAGTATCGTAGTAAGTATTAACTGACTAACTATTTCCGCAAACAAAAGTAAAAGGGAGGATATCAGTCTCTTTTGTGTATACGTGCTGTCTTTCAGGTCCGCGCTCAAATTAATTATCATAAATTCAAACCAATACCTAGTTAAATGTATGTCAAAAAGTCCGACCTACATTGTTGGGATTGGTAGGAGGAAACCGTGTTGAAAATTCGTAAGAGGTGACATCTCGACTTGGATGCGAGGGTCACAGATTATGGTCGAAACATTTATCATATTAACAATTTTAATTGTCATAAGTAATGAGAAATCAGGTGCCTGTTACCCCAGCGTAGGTCAAGAATCGGGTGGTTGTAGCTGGTGTAGAGACAAG